CGTGGGGCAGGAAGTGTGTGTGTCGGGGGGTGAGACTAGAGACTGGAACACAGGCATGGATTAAGAGGATAGAAAGGGATTAAGAGGGAGAAGTTAAAGACCAAGCGGTGAGGGTCTAAATTCGAACAGGTCCTAGACAAGCTGGGGATAGGGGGATGTGTCCAACCATGAAGAGCAAGAGTGACCCCTGGAGAGGAGGGACCCCTTCTCCTCTGGGGCTGTATCTAACAAGGCTTACAGAGCTGGGAAATTTTACACATGAATCTTGGAGACTATAACCCTGAATAATCTGCAGATCTTCAGTTTTAAGATCCATTTTTAGAAATATCTGTGGATAACAGGACTTCCATTTCTCTAGATACTTTAGGCTTTTTATTCCAATACCAAGATAAGCCACCAGAGTACCAGGACTTTGGACTACACAGTTTTGCCTGTTTTATTTCTAAGAGTCCTTCTTTGGTATTATAAACTAGGCAAGGAATTAGAAAACGTAAAAAAGGAGCCAGTAGAAATTAAACTGGAAAAACACAAAACAACCCCAAAACCCCAACACCATGAAAGCCAAAGCGATAACTCACTGAGTAAGCTCACCAGGAGATGAGATGAGAGACAAAACAATCAGTGAGCTCAAAGATCAACAGAAATTGATAAATCTGAGTAACAGAGAGAATACAGACTAGATAAACAAAAAAATCTGAGGAACTCATTTAATTCGAGTCCCTGAATGAGATGAGAAAGAGTAGGACTGAAAAACTATTTGAGAACATAATTACTGAATCCCCAGATTTGGCAAAAGACGTAGGTCTTTAAAAAGTTAAACAAATACCAAACAGGAAAACTCCAAAAATTCTGTGCCAGGACACATTGTAATCAAACGTACAAATACTATAGATAAAAACACCCTTCACGGAAAGGAAAAACTACAGACAGGGCAACAATGGGTTGAACGGCAGTAAGTAGGTTTCTCATCTGAAACCATGGAGGACACAAAAGAGGTATATGTTTTTTGTGTACTCAAAGAACCATAAACCTCGAATCTTTTATCCCACGAGAACATCCTTCAGGAATGAAGGGGACAGAGAAACACTTTTAGATGAAGGAAACCAAAATCATCTGTCAAAAGCACACCTACCCCAGAAGAAAGACTACAGGAACTTTACCAAACAGAAGGCAAATGTTAACATAAGGTCTGGAACTTCAAGAAAGGAGAACAATGGAGATGGAATGAGTAAAAGTAGAGATAAACAGACCACTCTTTTCATGAGTTTTGTTTAAACAAATGTTTGACAGCTGAGGCATAAATTACAACATCCAACATAGTGCTTGGTGTAAGAAGGGAAATACTTAATTAGATTTAAAATGGAAAATGCAAAGGAACCTAATGGAATTAAGGTTTCTATACATCAAAGTGCTTAAAATGCTGATAATATCAGACTGATAAGTTATGTATATACAATGCCTACAGTACAAAAATTAAGACAACACTCAAAAACATCATAGGTGGGGCGCCTGGGTGGCACAGTCGGTTAAGCGTCCGACTTCAGCCAGGTCACGATCTCGCGGTCCGTGAGTTCGAGCCCCGCGTCGGGCTCTGGGCTGATGGCTCGGAGCCTGGAGCCTGCTTCCGATTCTGTGTCTCCCTCTCTCTCTGCCCCTCCCCCGTTCATGCTCTGTCTCTCTCTGTCAAAAATAAATAAACGTTGAAAAAAAAAAAATTAAAAAAAAAAAAAAACATCATAGGTATATCAAATGGAATTCTAAAAATTGTTGGGAGTAACCCACAGGAATGCAAAACAACACAAAACAGAACAAGAAAATAACAAAAACAACCAGAAAACGAGAAACAATGTGAAGGGAACACAGCAAAAAATAAAAAAATGGAACACTTAAGCCCTAACACACCAGTAATTACTTTCAATTTAAGTGATGTGACTCTACCAATTAAAAGACAGAAAGTAGAAGGGATAAAAAAGCATGACCCAACTATATGCTGTTATAAGAAACTTCTTTCAAATGTAGTGACACAGATAAGGTTCAAAATAAAACTATGGAAAAATATAAACCATGCAAACATTAATCGAAACATGCAACAGGGAGGAACGCCTGGTGGGCTCAGTTGTCTGACTTCGGCTCAGGTCATGATCTCAAGGTTCGTGAGTTCCCTGTGTTGGCCTCTCCGCTGTCAGTGCAGAGCCTGCCTGGGATCCTCTGTCTTCTTTCTGCCCCTTCCCCACTCTCTCTTAAAAATAAACATTAAAAAAAAACATGCAGTAGGGACTATATTAATATTACTGAAGTATGCTTCAAAGTCAAGAAAATGAACATGGGCAAAAAGGGACATTAAATAATGAAAGGGTCAATAACCAAGATAACATATCAATACTAAATGTGAATGCACCAAACAAAAGAGCTTTAAAATACCTGAAGCAGAAAATAATAGAATTTAAAGATGAACAGACAGTAATGCTTTAGGACTTCACCATCCTCTCTGTGCAACTGACAGAAACACTAAACAGAAGGTCAGTAAGGATACAGAAAATTTGAATACTACTACCAACCAAGAGGATTGTGCAGGCATTCACAGAAATTCCACCCAATGACAGAACACATTCTTTTCAAGCGGCCTTTTAGAACATTCAAGAAGACAGACTGGGTCATAAACACACAACAAATTTAAACAGGCCAAATGTGAAACAAACTAGAAATCCAATAACAAAAGATAAAGAAAATACTCTACTAGAAAACTAAACAATAATCCATGAACCCAGTAGTCTCTTAAGGAGCTGAATAAACTGGAATTAAAATTAGCTGCGGTGGGGGATGCCTGGGCAGCTCAGTCAGTTAAGCATCCAACTCTGGATTTCAGCTCAGGTCATAATCTCATGGTTGGTGAGTTCAAGCCCCACATTGGGCTCTGCACTGACAGCAGAATTGGAATGCTCTCTCTCTCTCTCTCTCTCTCCCTCTCTCTCTGCCCCTCTCCTGGGCACACATATGCGCGTTCTCCCTCCCTCACACAAAATAAATAAATAAACTAAAAAATAAACTAAAAAAAAAACACTTGTGGGATGAAGCTGTCACAATGCTATAAGGGAACTTTATAGTACTAAGTGCTTAAATCAGAAAAGAAATGAGGAGCAAAAGACAACCAAAGCAAGTAGAAGAAAGGATATAATAAAGATCAGATGTTAGTGAAATTATATAAACAATAGAAACAAATGAAATTAAGTGATGGTTCTTCAAAATGATCAATAAAACTGATAAATACCTAAGAAGATGGACAAAGAGAGAGAGAGTGGACCTATTTCCAAAATCAGGTATCAAATGGGACAGAAGTATAGATCTTGCTGCCATTAAAATGGTAATAAGGAAATACTACAAGTCTACAAGTTAGAAAATTTAGATAAAACGGAACAATTCCTTGAAAATGCCAATCTTAAAACTATCCAATGTATCCAATATAAAAATTATTCTGAATTCAAGAAATTAGAGGAAAATTTCCTCAACAAAATATAATCAAATGGAATGTTTCAATACATAATATGTAAAAAAAAATTATACTCCACAACCAAGTGGGATTTATTCCAAGGATGCAAGACTGGTTCAATATTCAAAACTAATAAGTTAATACACAATATATCCATAAACTATAAAAGAAAAATCAGATAATCACATCAATTGATGGAGGCAAAGAATTTGGCAAAATCCAACACTTATTCATAATTTAAAAAAAAAACAAAACTCAGTAAATTAGGAATAGATGGAAATTTTCTAAACTTGATAAGAAAACTCCAAAAAGAACTTTTAACATTGTATTTGATGAAAAACTGAAAGTTTCCCGCCTCATTTGAGGAATCAGTCAAGGGCATCCTTTCTTACTACTCCTATCTGATATCACATTGGAAGTACACCTAGAGCAGTAAGAAAATAAAGTCATAGATAAACAGATGGGAAGGAAGAAGTAAAACTCTATCTGCAGCTGATGTACCTTTGCAGAAAATCCTAAGGATTCTACCCAGAGAAATGGCTAGAAATAATGTGAGTTCACCAAGGGTGCAGGTTACCAAAATATCATCCCCCAAACCAATGATCATTCTGCATACTACTGAAGATCATATGGAAAATCAAAGTGTAAAAATCAACGCCATTTACACTAAAAAAACAAAACACCTAGTTACAAATCTTAACAAAAATATACAGAGCCTGTATTGAAAATTATAAAACAGTAATGAAATACCAAGAATTAAACAAATGAAGTATCATAGGATGTACGATGTTCATGATGCTGCTTTTCAACAAACAGATCTACAAACCAATTCCTATAAAATGCAAACACGATTTTCTGCACCCTAAGATTTATATGAAAAGTCAAAGGAACTAGGAAAACTGAATCAATTTAAGTAATAGAAATCACTTTTACCTAATTTTGAGGTTTACCGTATAGCTACGGAAACTAAGTAAATAGATGGGATCAAGAAAAAGTCTGGGTGTTTGGGGTTTAAAACCAAATAAAAAAGTTCGTTTTCTAAAACTGTTAAGTCTTAACGTCTTAACTGGTGCAAGACGATGTGCCCACTCTTATGTGTGTATTTACCGCTTTGAATACCTGCCCTCTCATCTGTCTAACTCTCCTGCCACTGAACAGTAATGAACGTATATACAAGACACATAAAGGGTCAAGGCCCGGGGCCTCTGAAACAACCCCCCTGCCCCAAGTAAACAAAGGAATCCATGACAAAGTGCTTGACAAAGCTTGACAGAGAAGTCTCACAAACTTTTCATTTCATTTGCCCTTCTAATCTCCACCTTCTTTTTATAAAAATTCCTGAGATAACGCTGCAGTGTAAACTAAGAAAAAAGTAGCTGAACATTTTACTTCCTGCATAATCAACACCGGTCTCTCCTGGATGAACTCTCAGATGCACAGTAAGGCTCTGGGCCGGGTCAATCTCTAACTGCATCTCTACACGACTCCTGATGGCCTGGGACGGATGATTTTCTCACAGCGAAGATACCTGGGGGGTCTCTCTTTGGTATGTTCGATCAGATGCCATGGTAGATGTTTTCTCTGGCAAAAGGTTTTCCTCGGTGGTTACATTCAAGAAGTCTTTCCCCAGAAGGAGTTCTCGCAGGGTGACCGAGGACTGCCCGCTCGTGAAGGGTCTCCCCACTTCTGTTGCGCTGCCCCTGACGGGGTGTCTCCCAGTATGAATCCTCTGATGCTGAGTGAGGGAGGAGCTGCGACTGAAGGCCTTTCCACACTCGCTGCACTTATAGGGTTTCTCCCCGGTGTGGATGATGGCGTGCC